CGTTTGGAGACAGTTGCATGCTTGGCAGTTATTCTTGCGGATCTAAACCTATCTGATACCTTTTTTTCAGACTATGATAGGAATCTGGTAAAAAGATTTTGGTTCTTTACACTGGAATCTTGATCTGTAATTTATATAAACACTATTTGTCGGTTTCTTTGCCTTTCTCCTTCCAGCATTCCTCTGGCTTATGGGCATTATTGAGCATCTACTTTATGTGACCATAGTATGGGATTTGGGTCCTGTACAGTATACAATAAAATCTTTAATCCATGGCAGATTGATTTCCCAGAGACATTTCCATTTGAATTTCTAAAAATAAAATTGGATACCTTTACCTTTTAAAAATATTTATAATAAGGCAAGTTTTACTTACACAGATGATTCATGTCTATCTTTGGTATTTAGATGAAGTACCTCTCTGGATACAGGATTAAAACTTGTGAACACTAGAAAGTTGGGAACTAAAAACCGGGATTGCTGGGATACACAGCCTAGGAATTATCTAAGTCTGCTGGAACTTTATACTATAGGTCTGTGAGATAGTCACTAACCAGTTTTATTCCTATGTACCTCAGTAGATAAATCATTGAAAGAAACTAATTTGAGATGCACTATATTTGGTTAAGTCTTTTAGCTCGAGGAGTGTCTAAATATTGATGACAGAACCAGTCTTTCCTCTCCTCTAAGCACCTTTTTCCTCAAGGAGCAAAATTCTCCAGTTCCCTCCACCCCAAATTTGAACATCCTGTGGTCAATTTGAATAGTCTGAATATGCATGTTTGTAATGTATCTGAAAATACAGAATAATTAACTACACGCAACATATTCTGGGGTGGGGAGAGAGGAAAATTTGACCTGGAAATTTAAGATGTTTAGTGATTAAGAAAAAACCCTAATTTATGAGCTTCCATAAGAAATAAAATAATGCATTATAATTCCTATATTTCCTATGTGGTAAAGAGGAGAGAAATCCATTTCCTATGGGATGAGTCAGATGCAGTTAAACTTTTGCACTAGTGGGTAGAATAATGCAGCTGTTCTTGCAGTAGGTGGGCAGCATCTCTTCTGAGGAATCCGTTTACTTTCTCAATTCTTTCTTATCCCTTCTTCTTAAGATATTTATTATATAATTTTTTAAGATTTCATTTTTTAAGAGCAGTTTTATGTTTGCAACAACATTGAGAGGGAGATACAGAGATTTCCTGTGTGCTCCCGTACATGCATGGCCTCCTCTGTTCTCAATATTGCTCACCAGAATGCTACGTTTGTTACTAGGGATGAACCTACATTGACGCATGATAGTTTACTTTAGGGTTACTCTTGGTATTGTATGGTCTATATGGGTTTGTACAAATGTATAATGACATATACCCATCATTGTAATAGCATACCGAGTAATTTCACTGCCGTAAAATTCCTCTGTACCCTGCCTTTTTATCTCTCTCCTGCCCTGCATCCCCATAATCACTGATATTTTTATTGTCTCTATAGTTTTGCCTTTTCCAGAAAGTCATATAGTTGGAATCATACAGTATGTAGTCTTTTCAGACGGGCTTCTTTCCCTTAGGATTGTGCATTTAAAGTTCCTTCGTGTCTTTGCATGTCTTGATAGTTCATGTTTTTAGCACTGAATGATATTCCATTGTTTGGATGTACCACAGTTTATTTATCCACTCACTTACTGGAGGACATCTTGGTTGCTTCCAAGTTTTGGCAGTTATGAACAAAACTGCTGTGAACATACATGTGCAGGTTTTTGTGAGAACATAATGTTTTCAACTCCTTTGGGTAATTGGCAAGAAACACAATTTCTGGATCGTATGTTAAGAATATATTAAATTTTGTAAGAGAACACCATGTTGTCTTCCAAAATGTCTGTAACATTTTCTATTCATACCAGCAGTGTATGAAAGTTCTTGTTGCTCCACATCCTCACCAGCAATTGGTATCATCACTGTTCCAGATTTTGGTCATTCTAATAGATGTGTAATTATTGTATTAATATGCATTTCCCTGATGACATATGATGTAGATCATCTTTTCATATGTTTATTTGCCATCTGTATATCTTTTTTGGTAAGATGCCTTTTCAGGTCTTTGGCCCATTTTTTAATGGAGTTGTTTATTTCCTTATTCTTGGGTTTTAAGATTCTTATTATATTTTGTATAATGGTCCTTTATCAGGTCTGTCTTTTGCAAATATTTTCTCCCAGCCCCTGGCTTGTCTTCTCATTCTCTTGATATTGTCTTTCAAAGAGTGGAAGTTTTTAATTTTAATCAAGTTCAGATCAGTTATTTCTTTCAGGGCTCATGTCTTTGGTGTATCTAAAAAGGCATTCCTATACCCAAAGTTATCTAGGTTTTCTTCTGCGCTATCTCCTAGGAGTTTTATAGTTTTGCATTTTACATTTAGGTCCATGATACATTTTGAGTTAATTTTTATGAAATATTGTGTTGGCTAATCTGAGTCTTTTGCCTTTCCATGTAAATTTTAGAATCGTTTTGTCAATATCCATAAAATAATTTGCTGGGATCTTGATTGGGATTGTGTTGAATCCATAGATCACATTGGGAAGAACTGACGTCTTGAGAGTATTGAGTTCTCCTATCCATGAACATGGAATATCTCCCCATTTATTTAGTTTCTTGATTTAATTCTTCAGAGTTTTATAGTTTCCCTTAAATAGATCTTATATTTATTTAGTTACACTGATACATAAATATTTAATTCTTTCAGGTGTTAATGTAAATTATACCATGTTTTTAATTTCAATTCTACATGTTCATTATTGGTATATAGAAAAGTGATTGAGCTTTGTGTATTAACTTTCAGCCTGCAACTTTGCTATAATTGCTTATTAATTCCAGGAGGGTTTTTTTTCTTCTCTCTTTTTTTAAGTTTTTATTTTAATTCCAGTTAGTTAACATATAGTGTTATATTAGTTCCAGGTGTACAATAGAGTGATTCAGCAATTCCATACATCCAGTGTTCATCACAACAAGAGTACTCCTTAATCCCCATCACCTATTTAACCCATCCACCCCCATCTGCCTCCCCTCTGGTAACCATCAATTTGTTCTCTATAGTTAAGAGTCTGTTTCTTTCTCTTTTTCCCTTTGCTCCTTTGTTTTCTTTCTTAAATTCCACTTATGAGTGAAATCGTATAGTATTAATCTTTCTCTGACTTATTTCTCTTAGCATTATACTCTTTAGCTCCATCCATGTCATTGCAAATGGTATGATTTCATTTCTTTTTATAGGTAATATTCCATTGTGTATATATACCACCTCTTCTTTATCCATTCATCAATTGATGGACACTTGGGCTGCTTCCATATCTTGTCTATTGTAAATAATGCTGCTATAAACATAGGGGTGCATGTGTCCCTATGAATTAGTGTTTTTGTATTTGTTGGGTAAATACCCAGTAGTGGGATGGATAGATGGTAGGTTCTATTTTTAATTTTTGAGGAATCTTCCAGGAGGGTTTTTGTTGTTGTTGATTCTTTCAGATTTTCTGCATAGATGATCATGTTATCCTTGAGCAAAGGCAGCTTTATGTCTTCCTTCCCAATCTGTATACCTTTTATTTCCTTTTCTTGCCTTATTGCATTAGCAAGGACACCAGTTGATATTAAAAAGGAGTAAGAGGGGATATCCTTGACTTGTACCTGATCTTAGTGAGAAAGCTTTGAATTTTTCATTATTAAGTATGATTTTAGCTGTACAGTTTTTTAAATATATTTTTTTTTATAGTTTAATGTATTTTAATAGCAAACTTACAGGAACAGCACAGAAGACAGACAACATTAAAAACATGTACTTGCATGTAGGACAACTCAGTTAGAAAGTATAGCGAATGGATGGATCTACTGTATGATAAAAATGCTACAAACACCATTTAGTTGCTGTCAATAAGAAATTTCCTTGTTTTAAAACCAAATGCTGGCATTGTCCAGAAAAATTAAACAGGTTTATTTATAATTGTTATAAATTGAACTGCTGAAACGTGTTCACTGAAACATTTTGACTTGCATTAATGCTTTATGTCCCCGCATTTATATTAAAAATTCACACACAAGTGACAGTGGAAAACCTGCCAATACCTGATTTCTGTCCCCTATTTTTCCACTTGCAATCATAGACTTAGGTACCTTTTGATCCCATGGAAAGAAAATATCTAACGTTCAGAACTACCAATAACAGGAAGAAGAGAAATTTTTTTTTTTTTTTAAAGAATGAAATGTTTCCCATCATAGTGGATTCTTAAGCACGTTCTCCATGTATGCGGTGCCCTAGCTGGATGTCTTTTGACATAATTGTGACACATTTGGCATGGATAGCACACAGGTTGGTGTCTTCAAAGAGGCCCACCAGATAGGCCTCGCTTGCTTCCTGCAAAGCACCGATAGCTGCACTCTGGAAGCGCAGATCTGTTTTGAAGTCCTGAGCAATTTCTCGTACCAGACGCTGGAAAGGAAGTTTGCGGATCAGAAGCTCTGTGGACTTCTGATAACGTCTAATTTCACGGAGGGCCACAGTACCAGGCCTGTAACGATGAGGTTTCTTCACCCCTCCAGTAGAGGGTGCACTCCTGTGAGCAGCTTTTGTAGCCAGTTGCTTCCTTGGTGCTTTACCACCGGTCCATTTGTGGGCAGTCTGCTTTGTACGAGCCATGGTACAGAAACCTCCTTATTTACCCCTCTTCTCCTTCGGCTGGAGCTCGGCGAGCTAGAGGCGGCGCTGGCGTTGGCGAGCGACGGCATCCTGTACAGTTCTTTTTAGATCATCTTTAGCAAGTTAAGAAAGTTCCTTTCTATTCCCAGTTTTTATCATGAGAGGTTTTTTGTTTTTTTGGGTCATGAGTGGGTTATTATAAATGAGCTAATGCTTTACATTTTTATGGAAGTAAAACTCAGTTTTATTTTAGTCTTCCTTATTCATCAAATATTCTTTTATTATTTCATTTCTATCTATTGGTAATCTGTGTTTCAAGGCTCAGCTTGTCAATCGGAAACAGAAATTAGAGTCTGTGGAGTTGTCCAGCCAGTCGGAAATTCAGCACCTGAGCAGTAAGCTGGAGCGGGCCAATGACACTATCTGTGCCAATGAGTTGGAAATAGAGCGCCTCACCATGAGGGTCAATGACTTGGTTGGAACCAATATGTCTGTTATGCAAGAGCAGCGGCAAAAAGAAGAAAAATTGAGGGAATCTGAAAAACTATTAGAGGTTTGTTTTAAAATTACTACAGTTGGGGAAATGTGTGTATGCATGTTTTTAAGAGAAACTAGCCCAAAAGTCCATCAACTGAATGGATAAAGACAATGTGGTGTATATATAGACAGTGGAATATTACTCAGCCATCAAAAAAATGAAATCTTGCCATTTGCAATGAATGACATGGATGGAACTAGAGTGTATTATGCTAAGTGAAATAAGTCAGAGAAATACAAATACCATGATTTCACTCATATGTGGAATTTAAGGGACAAAACAGATGAACAAAGGGGAAGGGGGAAAAAAAGGAGGCAAATCATAAACTTTTTTTTTTAATTTTTTATTGTTATGTTAATCACCATATATTACATCATTAGTTTTTGATGCAGTGTTCCATGATTCCTTGTTTGTGCATAACACCCAGTGCTCCATGCAGAACGTGCCCTCCTCAATACCCATCACCAGGCTAACCCATCCCCCTACCCCCCTCCCCTCAAGAACCCTCAGTTTGTTTTTCAGAGTCCATCATCTCTCATGGTTCGTCTCCCCCTCTGACATACTCCCCTTTTCTTCCTCTCCTGTTATCTTCTTCTTTTCCTTTTTTCTTAAAATATGTTGCATTATTTGTTTCAGAAGTACAGATCTGTGATTCAACAGTCTTGCACAATTCACAGCGCTCACTGTAGCACATACCCTACCCAATGTCTATCACCCAGCCACCCCATCCCTCCCACCCCCAACCACTCCAGTAACACTCAGTTTGTTTCCTGAGATTAAGAATTCCTCATATCAGTGAGGTCATCAAATCATAAACTCTTAAAAGATAGAGAACAAACTAAGGGTTGCTGAAGGGGAGGTGGGTGGGGGGAAGGGATAATTGGGTGATGGGCATTAAGAAGGGCATTTGTGATGAGCACTGGGTGTTGTATGTAAGGGATGAATCACTGAATTCTCAATATTACATTATATGTTAACTAGAATTTTTTAAATTTATTTTTTTATTAGTTTCAGAGGTAGAATTTAGTGCTTCATCAGTTGCATACAACACCCAGTGCTCATGACATCACGTGCCTTCCTCAGTGCCCATCACCCAGCTACCGTATCCCTCCACTTCCTTCCCCTCCAGCAACCCTCAGTTTGTTTCCTAGAGTTCAGTGTCTCTTCTGGTTTGCCTCCCTCTGTATTTTCATCTTATTTTATTTTTCTTTCCTTTCCCCTATGTTCATCTGTTTTGTTTCTTAAGTTCCACATATGAGTGAAATCATATGGTATTTGTCTTTCTCTGACTGACTTATTTTGCTTAGCGTAATACCCTCCAGTTCCATCTACATTGTTGCAAATGGCAAGAGTTCATTCTTTTTGTTGGCTGAGTACTATTACGGGGGGTGTGTGTGTGTGTTTGTGTACACACTACATCTTCTTTATCCATTCATCTGTCGGTGGACATCTGGGCTCTTTCCATATTTGGCTCTTGAGGACATTGCTGCTATAAACATTGGGGTGCATGTGCTCCTTTGAATCACTATGTTTGTATCCTTTGGATAATTACCTAGTAGTGCAATTACTGGGTCATAGGGTAGCTCTATTTTTAACTTTTTGAGGAACCTCCATACTGTTTTCCAAAGTGGCTATATCAGTTTGCGTTCCCACCAACAGTGTAAGAGGCTTCCCGTTTCTCCACATCCTCACTAATATCTGTTGATTCCTCAGTTGTTAATTATAGCTCTTCTTACTGGTGTGCAGTAGTATCTCATTGTGGTTTTGATTTGTATTTCCCTGATGCCGAGTGATGTTGAACATTTTTTCATGTGTCTGTTGGCCATTTGTATGTCTTCTTTGGAGAAATGTCTGTTCATGTCTTCTGCCCATTTCTTGGCTGGATATTTTGTTTTTTTGGGTGTTGAGTTTGTTAAGTTCTTTATAGATTTTGGATATTAGCCCTTTTATCTGATACGTCATTTGCAAGTATCTTCTCCCATTCTGTCGGTTGTCTTTTGGTTTTGTTGATTGTTTCCTTTGCTGTGCAAAAGCTTTTTATCCTGATGAAGTCCCGATAGTTCATATTTGCTTTTGTTTCTCTTTCCTTTGGACACATGTCTAGCAAGAAGTTGCTGCAGCCAAGGTTGAAGAGGTTGTTGCCTGTGTTCTCCTCTAGGGTTCTGATGGATTCCTGTCTCACATTTAGGTCTTTTATCCATTTTGTGTTTATTTTCGTAGATGGTGTAAGAAAGTAGTTTCATGCTTCTGCATGTGGCTGTCCAGTTTTCCCAACACTATTTGTTAACTAATTAGAATTTAAATAAGAACTTAAAAAAAAATTAATCTCGAACTATGTTCAAGAATCCATGGGTTTCTTCCCTAATCTGTAGCTAATGGATCAGACATTGATAGCCTTATTAATATTGTACCTATTATAGTCTGACTCCCTGGCTTCCTTTTCTTATGAAATAGAAAAATTGTGATAACATCTGACTTTTTTTCTGAGTATTTTGCAGATTCTCCAGGAAGAAAAGAGAGAATTGAAAGCAACTCTTCAGTCTCAAGAAAATTTCATGCATGAGGAAAGAATGCAAAAGGAGAAGCTACAAGCAAAGTTAAAGCCAACTGATGCTCAACACACAATAGAGGCCATAAGGTATATTTAATCTTATTATTATTTTTTTTATTTAATCTTAAATATTAATTGTATCCACTTGGTGGTTTGGCATTGAGCACCAGTGTTAATATTATGTATTCATAATTTTGTGTTTGATCACATTATGGGTTTTCTTATTCACTTTTAATTTCTGAGTTAAATTTTTATGGTGTTATAAAATTTTGTGTGGTTAGTTTTTTTTCTGCATCCAGTTTGGGTCCCTAACCAAAAGACTGTAATGTTTAGAAAGTAGAAACTACTTGGTCAATCTGTACTGTTGGTGAAACTCCAAATGTGAAAGGAATTGTAGTCCATGTTTCCTGGAAGGCTTCCCTTTCTTGGTAGAATAGGTCATGATAAGTAGCTGCTTATCATCAACATCATTAATAAGCCAGCTATTGAGATGGCTCATTAAAAAAAAAATCCTAAAACTCATTATATTTCTAAATATGAATTATTTTCGTGATGCTTGTAGTGGAAAGTAATAGAAGGAGCTATGCTCCTTTTCCTTTAGGTCTGATACACATTTCTATTCTTGGCAGAACTTTCCTGTAACTTTTCGGTTTCTTTGGCTCAAGGTATCAAGTGGAAACAAAAGTTTTGTCGTTTTATCTTTTTCCCTAGAAAAACAGGCCAAATCCCAGTTGAGAAAGGAGTAAACTGCTGCTGACTTTTTTGAGAAGCATCATCTCATGCTTCTTTACTCTCCCAAGTGATCTTTTCATGAAGCAGGAGACAAGCTGAAGAGTTCCGAAGAGTTCCAAACAGTTTCATTACCAAAAACAATTGGGAAATATGAACTGATTATGCATTGTTTTATTTGCAAGGATCAGAGGCCTTTAACAGTTCTCCTCTGTCTTTAGGTCACTGGAGGAGTCACAGGCAGGAAGGAGGTATACCTCACACGAGCAGGGGGACTTAGGCAACATGCTGTCCCAGCTGGATTTCACCCACAGTAGTGAAGAACTTCTGCAGGCAGAGGTGACTCGTTTGGAAGGCAGGTAGATAATTACATACACATTTCAAGAGTGTTCAAGTTGTTAAAAATGATTTTTGATCGTCATATTGATAAAGTAAACTAACGTAATAATCTTAGTGAAGGGGCGCCTGCACGGTTCAGTTGGTTAAGCAACCGACTCTTGAGTTCGGCTCAGGTCATGATCTCAGGGTCATGAGATGGAGCCCTGCGTTCGGCTCTACGCTCAGTGGGGGCTCCCTCTCCCTCTGCTCCTCTCCCTGCTTGTGCTCGCTCTTTGTCTCTCAAATAAATAAATAAAATCTTTAAAAAAAAAGTTAGGCTGGAGCTGCTCTCAGCGAGGGCACACTGGGCACATGACGCTCCTTTCTTGTGTCCCGAAGTGCTGTTGATTATTTCCTTGGATGCTAGTTGAATCCTGATCTATGCTAGAGCATACCCAGCTCACTTGCTTCATCATCATACTTGTGAACTTTTGTTTGTCATACCTCTAAACTCTGTGACTGGGAAGAGGTTGATATTTTGTTTTAAACATGAAATGTTTGTACACTAACATTTTCTGTATGTAAAAATTTTAAAATATATGAACTATTAGCCTTTAGGCAAACAAAGAACAAAAATATTGCTATTTTACCCTTTTAAGTTTATCTTTAAGTAATACACTTTTTACTTTTTATTTCTGTTTTTGGAAACCACCAGGTATTTTTTTTTACATATTAAATACCATGCACATACAGTTTTTTGCTTTATTTGCTTTGCACCTTGGAATACTTAAGATATTCTTGGTTATCATTATTGAGGTGGATGTGTACATTTTTTAAATTTATTTTTAAAGATTTTATTTATTTGAGAGAGGGAGAAAGAGTGAGTGAGAGAGAGAGCACAAGCTGGGGAGAGAGGCAGAGGGAGAAGGAGAAGCAGACTCCCCACTCTGCAGGGAGCCCGACTCCTGGCTTGATCCCAGGACCCTGGGATCATGACCTGAGCCGAAGGTAGACACTTGACCAACTGAACCACCCTGGTGCCTCAGGATGTATACACTTCAAACTGAATAAAATAAAGCTCATCCTTCCTTCTTCCCTCCCTCCCTTCCTTCCTCCCTCCCTTCCTCCCTCCCTCCCTTCCTCCCTTCCTTCCTCCCTTCCTTCCTTCCTTCCTTCCTTGATCTCACAACCCTGAGATCATGACCTGAGCCAAAATCAAGAGTCTTAACTGACTGAGGCACCCAAGCTCCACAAAGCTTATTATTCTTTTTGACATTGGAACTAAAATTTATATTTTCTATCATAGATTTTCCATTGATTGACTTTTTAGTATCTTACACGTAGGTATGTTTTACTGTGCTCCCTTCAGGCTTTAAAGACCTACCTCTTCTTTCTGATTTGCAGTGTGACCTTAGATCCTTAGCCTCTTTAAGCCCCAATTTTCCCATCTGTAGCTAGGACAGGAGTATCTATAATTCTTCTCTCTCTGCCTCAGTGTTTGACACACTGTACTGACATACCAAGTACCAAATAAATGAGCATTTTAGGATATTTAGAAATAGGTAAAATTGAAATAAATGGAAACATACACCAGTGTTCAGTAATAAACAATGTCTTTTAAAAATATTTTTTCTATCAAAAGGCAAATAGAAAAAGGAACCCATTTTAGATACTTTAGGTTGTTTAGTTTGAACAAAATGTTCCCTGAGAAAGGAGCAAAAGAATTTTATTAACAGAAATGAGTGGTGAGATAAGAGAGTTATGGTTTGGGACGCCTGGGTGGCTCAGTCGGTTAAGCATCTACCTTTGGCTCAGGTCATGATCCCAGGGTCCTGGGATGGAGCCCCACTTGGGGCTCCCTGCTCAGGGAGCCTGCTTCTCCCTCTCCCTTTCCTTCCCCCCTGCTCATGCTCGTGCACTCCCTCTCGCTCTCTCTCAAATAAATAAATAAAATCTTAAAAAAAAAGAGTTATGGTTCCCTGAGGTTCTCGTATCTGATGAGGGATTGATTCTTAAGTAAGGGTGACAAGGTGGAAGCTGTGTAGTGTGGAATTGTAATTAAGTATGGTGGAGATTAAAATTATGATGGTAACTCTTGTACAATTTGAGAGAGAAAAGTAGTGAAGTTGCTGTAATCTTTAGAATTTTGTAACCAGTTAAATTTTAAGCAGAGGGAAAGAGTATAGGTAAACAGAGAAATCAAAAGTATCCCCAAAAGTTGGAATTGGATTTAGTTGCCTCTGGTGATGAGGAAATTGAAAATGAGTTTTAATTTGGGGTGGGAGGTGATGTTTAAGATATTTCTTGGACACTAAAAGGTAAGTTAGATAATTGAATCTGTGTGCTTCAGGGTTTTTGTTTGAAGTATGTGATCATATTTTTGTCATATATACAGCTTGGAGTCTGTGAGTGCAACATGTAAACAACTGAGCCAAGAACTAATGGACAAATATGAAGAATTGAAGAAGATGGAAGTACATAACAATGAGTACAGGGCAGAGATTAAGAAGGTAAAAATCTGCCTACCTGCAGTCGCCAAGTTGTATATATATATGGACTGAGCTGTGGGTTGGGAGGTCATAGGAGTTATATTTAATGAGAGAAAAATGTGGGCCAAGGAGCCACTTGATATTCAGGAGTAGACGTGCACCCAGAATGTGCTTAGGGAAAGTCTTTGTCATCCTTAGGGATGCCATATAAACGTTTTCAAGGGAACTGAAGCCTATCCTCTTTGAACTCTAAGCTTTGTTTTAAATGTTCTAAAAGATTTACACTCTTTTGCTTTCAAAAAGATATTATATGAACTAGCATTTAGTATTTTCTTATTGACTGAAGGTGGTCATGGGTATGTATTCTGTGGCTTGGTCTAGTTAATCCCCTCATTGGCTGTTGAGGTATGTGGAGCTGTTTGTCTCTCCTCTCCACATTAATGGGCCCTGGCTGCTGTGTTTGTTGACTCATAATTTTTGTTACTTGAGATTGCTTCTGGCTTCTTTCTTTCTCTTACTTTCTCTTGTCTTATGCGGACAAGGAAGCCATATACACAAAATTGTTAGCTTTGCAACTAAAAAAGAAAGAATGAAGGTCACAGTTGCTGACCTCTAAATAATGTGTGCATGGACTTTGACACAGGTTCTTAGCATTCAAATAACCCATCTCTCCCTGTTTTGAGATTAATGAATTATTGTGGGTATAGCCATCTGACCTTCCACGTAGACATACAACTTGGTACATTGCTAATTTTCTGTAGAACTTAATCAAGGAAAAAATTCATGTCTTGGGGTAAGGTAAAAATTGCCTTATTATTTTTAACTATTAACATATTTATCTGTCTACATGCTTTCTCTTTGTTCTTTACGCTTTCCTTTCTGTTTCTTTGTAGTTGAAAGAACAGATTTTACAGGCTGAACAAAGCTACAGTTCTGCCTTAGAAGGAATGAAGATGGAAATCTCACAGCTAACTCGGGAGTTACACCAGCGAGACATCACTATTGCTTCCACCAAAAGCTCGTCCTCTGACATGGAAAAGCGACTCAAAGCAGAGATCCAAAAGGCAGAAGAAAAAGCCGTAGAACATAAGGTGAAGCTTGAACAAAAACTCTTCATCTGAAGTGTTTTTGAACATGGCATTCAGTACAGATATAATTCCCACAGTATTTAATTCAGCAAATTTTTATTAGACTCCTGCTGTGGGCTGAGGTGTGCTGGTTCACAAGCATTCTGTGAGGATGGGGGGGAGGTGAGAGTGAGTACAGAGTAGAGAGGCTGTGTCTGTCATGCATGGTGGGGGTGTGATGTGTCCGCTGGGACAGACTAGAGTCCACGTGGGTTGAGTGTGGCAAGGGGTGGAACTGGGAAGCAGGGACTGGCTCCTGGGACCCTGCCGGGGTAGGAAGGGCTTAGTGTTCTCTTGAGGCCAGTAGAGAATGGCTGTAAGCAGGCATCAAGGGTCTCTATGGTGGTGATACGGAGAGTGAGCAAGGAGGCAGAGAGACCACTCAGATACCCTTACAGCAGTAAGATGGTGGCCTGAGCAGTGGGCAGGGGAGGTAGAAGGAAATGCAGGAATTCTGAGATAGGTGGCTGGTAAAATCAGCTGGGCTTTGCATTTGTTTGAACAGGGAGGGCGAGTTAGACAGAGTTAGGGGAAGATGTTACTCAGGATTGCAACGTGGGTAACTGAGTAGAAAGTGATGCCCTTTAGTGAAATAGAGAAAAAGATAGGGAGCAGGCTAGGGCAGATACGGAATTTGTTTGAAAGTAACACAAAATAGGGAAGCTGGTGGAGCAGACACTGGTTTGAGATTAAGGCCGGACGTTTGTATGGAAATATCTAATAGTCAATTCTACAGAAGACCTGGAGTTCAAGATTAAAATCGGGGTGAGGCATTTGGCTGTGGGCATGTCTGCATGGAGTGGGCATTTGAAACGCCCTGAGAGACTTAGAAAATGTGGTGAGAAAGCATAGGGATGAAGACAGAGCTCGAACCACACTTCGGAAACTACTCATTTAGGGTAAAAAGGTGTTGGAATAGAGCTAAAAAAAGGTAGCAATAAGGAAGAAAACTAGATAGTTTTCACAAAGGAAGCAGGAAACCAAAGAAGGGAGGAGTCTTTTTCAGGTAGGAATGGTCGAGCACACCGCTGAGGAGAAGGAGGAAATGAGGAGGGGGAGTCAGTTACAGGCACACCTGCTCTTACTGCACTTTGCTTTATTGCACATTGCAGATGTTACATTTTTCACAAATTGAAGGTTTGTGACAACCCTGTGATGAACAAGTCAGTCAGCACCATTTTTCCAACAGCATTTGCTCACTTCATGTCTCTGTATCACATTTTGGTAATTCTCGCAATATTTCGGACATTTTCATTATTATTATATTTGTATGGTAATCTGTGATCAGTAATTACAGCTCACTGAAAGCTCAGGTGATGGTTAGCATTTTTTAGCAAAAAAGTATTTTTAAATTAAAGTGCGTACATTTTTTTAGACGTAATGCTATTGTATACTTAACAGACTACAGTATAGTGTAAACATAACTTTTACATGCACTGGGAAACCAAAGTATTTGACTCCTTTTATTGTGAGACTTGCTTTATTGGGATTGAACCCGCAACATCTCTGAGGTATGTCTGTATTCTCTTGTGAAAGGAGTGCAGTCCATATGATGTTGGAGGTGTAAACCACATGAGATGAGGCTAACACTGGAGAGTGGGAGGGATTGATCAGGGAACTTGTTCATTTTTTTTTTTTTTTAAAGATTTATTTATTTATTTGAGAGAGAGCATGAGCAGGGAGAGGGGCAGAGGGAGAGAATCTGAAGCAGACATCCCACTGAGCACAGAGCCCCAACATGGGGCTTCATCTCAGGACCCTGAGATCGTGATCTTAGCCAAAATCAAGAGTCAGCTGCTTAACAGACTGATCCACCCAGGAGCCCTGAGCTCATACATCTTCTTAGAATATTTTAAATGCATGTGTGTTAATACATCTTGACACACCTTTTTTAAAAAAATCTTTTTATTTTTCAAAGATTTTATTTCTTTGAGAGAAAGAGAAAGCGTATGTGCATGAGTGTTGGGGAGGGCCAGAGGGAGAAGCAGACTCCCTGCTGAGCAGGGAGCTTGACTCGGCTCGATCCCAGGTTTCGGGATCTGAGTGAGATCTGAGTCTGACTGAGCCATCCAGGCACCCGTAAAAAATGTTTTTAGAAAGGTATTTATATATAAATATGTTATATATTTGTTAATATGTTAATATAATTAAATATATATATTTATATGAATGAAGAATGCATTTTTGCCTAAGGAAAATTATACATGGAAAAATTTTGTAGGTGCATTTATTTGTTTTTTCTGCTTTTCCCTTCTCAGGAGATTTTGGATCAGATGGAGTCACTCAAGTTAGAAAATCGTCATCTCTCTGAAATGGTGATGAAATTGGAATTGGGTTTACACGAGGTACGTAATAGAAACTTAAGTTTTTCTATTATCCAGGCCTTTTAAAGAAATCACTTTGTAAATATTGATGTTGTAAAGAGAGAGTTAAGATTAAACTGTGGAATGATCCTTCTGCAGAAACTTGCTCAAATAAAAAGAAGTCAAGACAATGATGGCAGTGAGCAAAATATCACTCTCCACTTCAGCAACTGGGAGATTTTTTTATATTATGTATATGACAAAATACATGTATAGTCTATGTTCTTAGTAGGGAGCCTGTATATAAAGTGCTTAGCATAGTGCCTGGCATTTTGTAAGTGCACAATAAATGTTAGGTGCTATTATTATTGTTAGAATTATTATGTTGATAGTACCTTTTTCTTATAAAGTATATCATCTTTTACATAATTTGGTTTTAATTATATTTCTATAAGATACAATTTGTTTAGTCAAATATTCTAGAATCTTTTGTGTTCAAAGTATTTTCGCAGGCAATGTAATGTACGCAAGGATGAGTGGGATAGAATTCTTGCCTTGAAGAGATTGAGAGTAAACTAGTTGGGGGGTAAGAGGTGTGTGCCAGCTCCTGTGAAGCGGGGAGAACATGGTCAGTTTACAGTGAGTTCATAAACGGTATGGATGTCCTTTTAGCTCTTTTGTTATAAAATTCTTATAATTTGCAAAATGACCCATCTATTCTGACCTCTTTTAAATTAAAGTGCCTACATTTTTTTAGACGTAATGCTGATGTAGGTCAAATGCCCAAAGATTGTAGAAGTTTTTTCTTTCTGCATTTCCAGAGACTCTGTGCCACCAGAGACGTATGGTTACACAGCGCCCCTATTCACTACTAAGTAGTTTTAAATTCACAATCATGGATTATGGAGGCTGGGGAGGGAGAAAGTGCAAAATGTTAAATGAATACAATATCGGGGACTATTTTTATAATCTTTTGGGACAATAAGATTCTCTTAGCCTCATGAAACCATAAAGAATATACAACAACATAAACAATTTTACGAAATAAAAATGTAAAATTTGTGGATGGCAAAATACCCCATAAAAAAGACTAATAGACTGGGGGAAACAATTTATAAATAGACAGAAGTTAATATATTAATACAAGGATTTCCTGGAAAGATAATAAAAAGATTGGAATCCAGTAGAAAAATGGACAAAGAACAGAGATATTTCATAGAAGTAATGCAAAAGTCCAGTGAATAAGAAAAGCTGTTCAGCATCCTTAATAATCAAAACTAAGTAAGTAAATACTTTTTTGCTAACTGGCTGGACAATGATTTTTAAAAACGAATATAGCTAATATTGGCAAGGATATAGGGCAACAGGCTCCCATGCTCTGTTAATGAGAAAGTGAATTGGTATAGCCTTTCTAGAGGACAGTTTAGCAATATCCATTAAACTTGTAAATATATATAGCGTATAAACTTCTGGGTCATGTGCATTTCTTATTTTGATAATTATTGCAGAGTAGTTCTCCAGAAAGGTCAAATCAGTTTGCATTCCCAAAGAACCCATCCTATAGGAACAAATGTGCTGAAATGGTCATTTTGTGTTATTTGCAATGTACAAAATTTTGAAGTAAACTAGATGTTAGCGTCTAGAGGGATGGTTAATCTGTGGCTATCTATACTGTGGATTTATTATGTTGTCATTTAAGGTGGCAGGTGAAAATATGCATCTAATCTTGCTCCTTCCCAAATCCTTCTAAAAATATAATGAAAGGATTTTTTTTTAAGTGCAGACCCACAAGGGATGGGAAAGAGAGGAGAGGAGAAAGCAGCTAAACCCTTTATAAGGGGGAAGTTGGAGGGAGGGAGGAAGGAAGGAAGGAAGAAAGAAAAAGATAATTTTATTTGCCCCTATAAAGCCAATATGAAGCTAGTATGGAGAAAGCCAAGAACCAACCTGATTTACACCACAGAATCTTCAAAAGGCTCAGGATTTGGCTGGCAATACCTTATCGAGAGAATCTTAACGCAGTGATTATCTGTTCCTGTTTAAGACTTGGGAACTCTTCAGGGTGCTTAAACCAGACTATGACCAGAGATTCCGTTGAGCTGAATTTCTCCTGAAATCCCGTCTAACAGCGATAACCTGTCCTTTCTTCACACAGCCCAGCATGTGCTTGGCGCACAATTTTTATATTACCTCTCACATTGATTTTTCTTTAATTGTTGTTAATAAAATAATAAATTTGAGAAAACTTTAAGAGATGCCTGGCAAAAGCAAAGCACTGTCTTTTTAAAAATATATATTTAATGACATCAAATACCAGACTCTGGCTGGTCAAAATCCCCTCAAGCATTTTAAACTTCCTCTGGTTTTGAAATTACACACAGTGTGAACATGTTGTATTTTTTTTTTTTTTAAGATTTTATTCATTTGAGATAGAGCATGAGCAGGGGGAGAGGCCGGGGTTGGGGGGGCGGTGAGAAGCAGACTTCCCGCTGAGTCAGTAGCCCAATGTGGGGCTCGATCCCAGGACCCTGGGATCATGACCTGAGCTGAAGGCAGACGTTTAACCATCTGAGCCACCCAGGTGCCCCAACATGTTGTATGTATTAAGAATAATTTTTAGAAAGTTCTTTTTTGCATTTTGCCACCTAGGAAGGTGGAAGTACTTTTACAAATGAATGTTTTTGGATTAAATAACAATTTTAATGAAATTATCTAATTGTCTTAATAATGAAAGCAGTAGCTCTGGTAAAATTATTTGCCACCTTTAAAAAATCAACAGTAGTTTGTAATTTAACTCCTATGTCCTGCAATTTTTTTTTCTTTTTTGAGATTTTAACTGGCATTGACAACTTACTGAAACATTTTGTAACTTACTGTCACTACTGGCACACGAATAGATAGTCGATAATCGAAGACTACGTTTTAAAGTGTATGTTTTAATTCTGTTAAACCACCTTGACCAGCTTATTTTCAGAAAATTCTTTCCAGAAAAGACCAAGCTAAACATCATATTAAATTCCAAAGAAAATTACCATAATTTTTCAGAATGCTAACAAAATATTTGGTCGTTAGAAAAAAAAATGGTCCAAGGGCGCCTGGGTGGCTCAGTTGGTTAAGCGACTGCCTTCGGCTCAGGTCATGATCCTGGAGTCCCGGGATCGAGTCCCGCATCGGGCTCCCTGCTCAGCGGGGAGTCTGCTTCTCCCTCTGACCCTCTTCCCTCTCGTGCTCTCTATCTCTCATTCTCTCACTCTCAAATAAATAAATAAAATCTTTAAAAAAAAAAAAAAAGAAAAAAAATGGTCCAGACTACTGTTTTTTCAGGTAGCATTACCAGGAAACACCTGGAATTGAAAAGTAAAATTCATGATCACGGAACCCAGACCAGATCAGAGTAGGAATTCCTACCTTATACCTGAATGCTGTTTTATGTGTATTTCAAATTTCACATACCAGAGCAGGTGCCAATGTTATGTAAAAGTCCTTAAGACCAGAGAGTACTTATTTAAAAGTTGTCCCCGCCAGCTGGAATTCCTTTTCAGAACCTTCTGTTCAAATGTCTTTCTTTGAACTAGGTCTCTCAATTTTCTTCCATAGATACTCTGGAAGAACCTATGGCTGCTATTTTCTTTCTTTTTTCTGTTTCTCATTCTCTCTTGTAGCTCTCCTCCATCTGAGTTCCAGCCTTCTTCTGGCTCCTTAGATCTTCCTTGGCACATCAGGGAAGCCCATCGTGCTCCTCATTTTCCACCCCCATTCACTGTAAGAAACAACACTTGTTTTCTCATAGGGGAGGGGCAAACCACAAATAGTCACTTTTTCCAAAGTAAAGCCATAGATGAACTAGTTACAACTAAAAAAAAAAAAAAATGTAGTTTCCCACCAGCGGTATCATAGATCACAGGTATTCTTATACCAATTAAGTAACTCTAGTATTCTTTTTTATTAGGCAAAAGAGATTTCACTAGCAGACCTCCAGGAGAATTATATTGAGGCATTAAATAAATTAGTGTCTGAAAATCAACAACTACAGAAAGATTTGATGGATACTAAATCTAAGCTGGAAATTTCTACTCAGATGTGCAAAAAAAACCATGACAGGATCTTTAAACCGATACACAGCAGAGCACCTGAGTTCAAGAATACAGAATTCAAGTAAAATTTCTTCACAGTTTACTTAAAATGTGTACCATTAATTCTCATTTCTTTGAGAATAATTTCAGACTTACAGAAATTAAATCTTCCTCAAACAGCCCTATGTTTGACTCTGAAGTACAGTGTATACGAGTAAAGCCTACTGTGAGGTTATACAAAGTGGCGGAGGGTTATAAAGCACTTTCATTCAGGTTTTAGTTTCACACACTCTGGATGTATGTATAAACAATGTCCTTCCTCCCCCGAGCCTTTCCATGCTGCCTCCCACCTCTCGAACCCCCACTGATACCATAAGAAGTAGAAATTGGCTTTTTTATATGAAGAAAGCTTCCTTTGTATTTTTGGTCAATTAATTATGAGCTGTTACCATAAGAAGTCAGCGTTCCATGAAAACCCACCTGGCTTCAGCTCTTACTATATGGCTTATGTGTTTTCCCACCTACCTACCAAAGCCCATGCTGACACCTCACCTCCACTGCCACCTTGACACCAGATCTCATGTGCACAGTACTTCCCTCTGTCCTAGCACCAGACACACTCGATTTCTCTGGTAGCTTGTCTTCCTGGCTATATTGTCCATGTCTGAGGGCCGGGGCCTGGCAGTGGGGATTGGATATGGGGCCTGAATGGATAGAAAGAACAAGGGGTCTGAGTGGGCTGCTCATTTTATAAATTATAGTCTTAACTGGTTAGCCTGTTCCTTCATTTTTAAGTTCCTTTATTTTAACTTCCTGTAACAGTTTTGTGTTAAAAGAGAAAAGTCATTACAATTTATATTTGTTTTGTTTTCTAATCTGCTATCCAGGCCAACCCATGGCCCCTACAGACATGATGGAATAAAGACTGAGCACTACAAAACAGGTCTCCATTCTCTGAGACGACAAGCGTTGGATAGTATAGAGCCTGTGTCCAGGGTCCTCAGCCCCCTGAGTTCTCAGATCACCCCTTGCAGTTCCGTCTCTCTGCCTTCTAACTTTCTGTGCAAAACTAACTCTTTGCCTTCAGTGCTAGATGTAAACGAAGCCAATTATTCGGACACTGTCTCTGAGAGTCTAAATGACCAAGAAGAGTTTATGTCTTCGGTATGGAAACTTTCTCATCTTACTGTTTGGTTTGGTTTTATTTTTTATTTGAAGGATAAAGGTGGGTGACGGGGTGTGTTGGTTTGTTTCTTACCAGTTCTCTATCTTAAGTACTCTGTATTATTCTCATGTTTTTCTGTCTTAGGATTTTGCTTGTGAAGACACATTCAGCCCTGATTACTTTTCAAAATGCGTCTTAGTTCTGAAAGTTAATAGCCATGCCTGTTTTTTAACCCTAATTGGAAATTCCTTTCCTGCCTTTTTCAGAGAGGGTCAATTTTGTATTAGAATGGTTGGTTCAAGGAATATCTCTGGATGCCAAGGTAGTCCTGAGGTCTAGACAGTGAAGAAGGAAGGAAGGAACTGGGGGAAAGGGAGAAAAGAGGGTGGGTGGAGGCAGAGGAAGGAAGTGCACCTGATGCACCCAGAACATGGATTCAGTGCCACGCAGGGTGACACTGTGCTGGCCCCATGTTCCTGCAGCTGCCGTGCAGACTTGAAGCACTCGCCTCTGGCCATTCATTGCCATCACCAGTTAGGGGTCCCACACCTGTGAAAGCTCAGTATTTGTGACTTTTGAATGTACCAACAAGTCCATGGAGAGGTTTTCTTTTCATTTTTAAAATAAGTCTCTACTTCCCTTACATGTCATTCTGAAATCCAAAAACGTCCTGCAAACTGTCTTCCTACATTTGGCAGCAAAACTTACTTGGCACTAAAACCTGACCTGAACTGATGCGATAATATGTATAGATTTTATATAATTCTGCTTAGCATTTTACTTCAGAAATATCAATGTGTTTGATTATGAGACGTTACCTCAGACTCCAGTAAGGTAATACGGTTGATCCTCATTAATCGTGGATTCTGTGTTTGTGAATTGCCTCCTCGCTAAACTATTTGTAACCCTCTGTCGAGACTTGAGGGACTCCTACGGTCATTTGTGGTTGTGAGCAGAGCTGTGAAAAATTTGAATCCCTAGACTTGCACATTCCCAGCTGAGGTTGGCGGAGGTGGCACTCTGCCCTTCTGTCCAGCTGTCACACAGAGGTGACCAGAGAGAGGGGAGGAGGTGAGGACAGCGTGGGGTAAGCTCCAGGAGCATGGGCTCTGGGGCTGGTGAACAGGGCTGGAATCCCAGTTCTAGCACCCGTTAGTGGGACGGCCTCAGGCAAGCCACTTCAACTTCTGAACCTCGTTTTCTCTTTTGTCAAATAAAGAAAATCGACTCCAACAGGATGAATCATTTTAGGATGATTGTGCGTGTGTGTGTGTGTGTGTGTGTGTGTGTGTGTGTGTATTTCCCCAAGGAGCAGTGATGCTTTATTCACTAACTCAGTGTTTGAGGTGACTCTAGAAGTAACTACTGCATGTGAGGAGGGACTGTGTGTGGTACATGTCCTCTATTACCTTTCTGAGGTCCGGATTCTGATATACCATGGTCCCAGGAGTTTCAGATGAGGGCTCATGGACCTGAGGTTTTGGAGGAGGGAAACTACTGATTTCACTTGGGATCTAATATGTTATTAGTAGATTTGCTGTGCTTTAAAATCAAAGTAACATATTCAGATTTTAAAAGTGAATTTGCAGTAACAGACATTAAGTATACTCTCTTCTGGGGTATTAAAGCCTATTAAAGGCTATATGTATGTATACTTTATACAAAGTCTAAACAGATACTCTTCAGACCCATAACTAATATATTTTATGTGACATTTTACATTTATACAATTTGGGTCAGAAAGGAAGAGGTCTGTGTTAATTTTTCCAGAACGGCTTCTTTCTTTCTTTCTTTTTCTTTACTAGTCTAATTATTAGGACAAAAATCTCTCTTCAGAAGAAAAAGTAGTTTTTTAAAAGTCACCTTTTAATATTTCTGGTTAGAAAATAGCATGAAAATGTATGTGAGAAGTACACTGTTCAACTTACGTATGTCAAAATTTGTTTCTCCTCCAGTGTCCCTTGCCTTTATCTCCTCTGGGTTCCATAGCTACCAGATTTTTGGAAGAGGAGGAGCTGAGGTCGCATCATATTCTAGAGCGCCTGGATGCCCATATTGAAGAACTCAAAAGAGAGAGTGAAAAGACAGTGAAACAATTCACGACCCTAAAGTAGCCTCTTGAAAAAAAAAATCACAAACTTGGAAAGGAAAATAGACCCTGAAGAGTTACTGTCACCTGGAAGTAGTGGCTCTTCACAACACGAAGATGCAAAAAATGCCAAGATGAGACATCCTAACACTTGTTGTGAAGGAATCGGAAAAGCGGATACTTCTCTAAGGCATTTTCACTGCACTGGTTTGTTTGAAGAACTTTTTCCAGCAATAACTTGTAAGAATAAACCATTTTGCTAGGCTTTTTTTTTCCTTACATTAATATTTATTATAAAGTGATATTTTCTCTTGATGACTTAAATGTGAATAGCTAGAGACTAATTAAAATAAAGATTTTATGATACAAGTTGAAGATAAAGTAACTACAGAAGTATGTAGTAGGAGTACGGATTTCAGAGTCAAACTGACCCAGATCCAGGTCGATGTACTGGCGTTGCTGTTTACTAGCCAGTTGGGCTGCTAGCGTGTCTAGGGATGAAAGAACTTTGACAGGAAGCCCTCTTTTGCTCCCAACACAAGTATAAGAGAGGTGGAGGGAGGGGCCAGGGGCTGGTTTTAGGCGTGGGGTGCCTATGGAATGTCAGATGGAAATGCTCGGCCTCTGCATTTCTGAGACGTTTAAAGGGGAGACAAAGATCTATGTGTAGAAGGTGTTAGAAACCATGGAGAGCCGATAAGATCCACCTGATAAAGTTTCCCAAGGCGAGTGTGTAGGGAGAGAAGAGCAGAGTGCAGGGCCAGGGGCGCTGAAGGACGCCATCATATGAAGGTCACAGGAAATGGATCAGTGGAAGAGCTAGACCCCACCGCTCCATGTCCACACCAGCGGGAGGTCCCGTCGGTTCTGCTTCCAAAATCTATCTCAGATGCAGCCATTTCTCTCCTCCAGTGCCCCCACCCTGTCTAGACTAACCCATCTCTCACCTAGATACTGCCAGTAGCCTCCTACCTGGCATCCCCTTCACTCATGACGCCAGGAAGTGAAACAGTGGCACCGCTGCCTCTCTTGAAACCCTTCAGAGGCTTCTTACTGCACTCAGAAGAACTCTGAATTGCTTAGCAGAGCCTACAGAGCCTTGGGTAACGGCCTGCCTGCGTCGCCCCCTGCACCGTCTTTTGTCCATGGTGCTCCAGCCATGCTGGCCTCCTTTCTGCTTCCGGTGCAGCCAGCTTCAACCTGTTAGGGTCCTTGTCCTTACTGTTTGCCTGGAATCCCTCTCTCACCTCACCCATGATTGGGGTTTCTTGCCATCAGGTGTACACTCTAACGTATCCCCTTGAGGAGATCTCTGACTGGCTTCTCCCAGTTTCTCTAGGTCACTACCTTGAGTTATTCCCTCTATAGTACGCCCCACTCTGAAATCATTCTGTTACTTGATTTACCTTTTTTGTTTATTTTGATTTAAGTAGGCTCCATGCCCACCGTGGAACCCAGCATGGGCCTTGAACTCACGACCTTGAGATTGAGACCTGAGCTGAGATCAAGAGTCAGATGCTTAACTGACTGAGCCACCCAGGGGCCCTATATGTTTTTATTGTGTGTTTCTACCCGTAAGCTCCTTGAGGGCAAGGGATGTTGCCTGTCTGGTTGGTGGTGGGGTCCTCATGACCCAGCACAAGCCTGGCACTGGGCAAGTGCTCAGATGGTTTGAACCAGTGGATAAATGTCCTTCCTCAGATGCACCACGTTTTCCCTTCATGCCTATGTACGTGCTGTCCCTTGGGTCAGCCTCCTCTTCCCATGCTTTCACATGCCCCTACTGTCTTGCTTGGCAAAGCCTTCCCACAGCCCCTGACCAGATTAAGGGAGCTTCTCATTTCTTAGCGCACCCTGTGTGTGCTCCTCTCAAAGCACTGACCACACCATGCTGTCTAATTTCTGTCTCTTCCAAAAACTCCTTAAAAGCAGGGGCAAGGTCCTGCCTACATGCAGGGTGCTGTCTCACACATAGTAGATCCTAAATGACTAATCAGTACATAAAAATCGCTACCATTCTGGGCTTCATTGCACTTACCTGTAAAATGGGGATGATACCTCATGGGGTTGAGAGGATTTATTGAAAATACATTTTTTTTAAGATTTTATTTACTTATTTGACGAGAGAGAGACACAGCGAGAGAGGGAACACAAGCAGGGGAAGTGGGAGAGGGAGAAGCAGGCTTCCTGCCGAGCAGGGAGCCCGATGTGGGGCTCGATCCCAGGACCCTGAGATCATGACCCGAGTTGAAGGCAGATGCTTAACGACTGAGCCACCAAGGCGCCCCGAAAATACATTTCTGAAAGGGCTTTGCAGACTCTAAAAATATGGTACCCATCTGGATTGGTATGCAGGGATTTCTGAGTTTCAGACTGTCCCAAGCTTCCACTTAAAATATGTAGGGTACAACCCTAAATTTCCACGGCACCTGCCGACTAGGAGGAACAAGGACAGACTCTAGTCACTGGAGATACTTAAGGAATCGGGAGGTACTATGTACTTCTTAAACTTCCACCACGTTGTTAAAGTTGAGGTAAACAGTCTAAATTTGTCAGAATGTTCGATTGTAATTTAATCTTCCAACTTCGTTTTTCAAAAAGATATGCCAAATATTAAAATGTGTCAAACTCAATTTGAGCTAGTTTCTTAATACACATTTTACAAAGTCTCTCTGTGATCAGGATACTCACATGAGATGGAAAGGTAAGGGTGTGCTCATCTACTTTCGGTGTTCACAGATGATGTTGTGTTGGGTGAGTTGCCTCATTCCTCTTGGCCAGCATTCCCAGTGAAGTTTGGTCTGGATTTCTATGCAGATTTTAGCTGATGAGGCAAAGTTGAGTTCTCCCTGTGAGTGGGATGCTGCCTTTCCATGGAGCCTCCTTTGATCTCAGTAAGCCTAGGAGGCAATGGGTGTCACCGTTCCAAAGCCACAGGGAGGATTTAAGTGGCTTGCCCAGGACCTGAAAGCCCCGGCTCTTTTTAGCTGAGCCTAGGTAGGGGTAGAGAGTGTGGACTCCGCAGGCAGGCGACCCAGTTCCTAACCCTAGCTCTACCACTTACTGGCTGTGTGACCTTGGACTCCATACCTCAGCTTTCTCATCTGTAAAACGGGAAATAAAAATCATACCTTCCTCATAGGGTTTTTGTGAAGATGAGTATTTGTAAAGTACATAGAATGGTACCTAGCCTAGTAAGCAGTATGAAAATATCTTGTTGAGTAGACAAAGAAATACACAGTATCTTTTAAGATTTTATTTGAGAGAGAGAGAGAGCACGAGTTGTGGGGGGAGAGCACAGGGAGAGGGAGAAGCAGGCTCCTCACTGAGCAAGGAGCCCAACGTGGGGCTCCATCCCAGGACCCCGGGATCATGACCTGAGCCAAAGGCAGACGCTTAACTGACTGAGCTCCCCAGGCACCCCAAAATTACAGTATTATGTCTACTCAACTTAAAAAAATTCTACCTTCCCTCTCAGACACAGACACATGACACCTAGTAAACTATGGGTGATGGTAATGTGTTTGCAAAACACCCCTGAGTCTGGAAACTAAAAGTTAGGTGTGAGAACAATAACTGTAAAATAAGTTCTGTCATTAAGAACATACGTAAGCAAAGAGTTGTCATGAATGGCAGTCAAGTGCAGAAAGGCAGGTTTAGGAAGAGATTTGTTGACTTGTTGTAGAGATAGTTTGAGATAGGATACAAAATATATTAAAAAGAAACCAAGAGTGGAATCAGAGCAAAGGGAAAATGAAGGCCATAAACGTCCATTCACAAACTAACATCTAGTTCAGTTGCTAGGGGCAGGCAGCAACTTTACCACTGAGCTGCTTAAGGGCAAAAGCAGAGAAGGAAACATTACTTAAAAAGTTGATGGTGCCCACAAGATCAAAACAGACCATGGGTTCAAGAGAAGCACATCTTCTCTGAGTGTGTATATGAGCATTTGGCTGGGTGTCTGAGCATTAGGAGAGGTCCTACAGCACTCTGGTAACTGATAAGAATAAGAGAATCTGTATGGCTTCCTTACAGCGTGCCTCAGTGTGGGCTGATGGCAAAGGCTGAAAGAGCAATCAGAGACCAGTTCTAAGGCGGTCCCAGATGTGATGGTATAAAGCTCTTGTGGTCTGGCCTGACCACAGGGGAAAATTTACAGAAATGATGGACTGCAGGCCTTCAAAGCAATCTTCTTTAAAAGCTATTTCTCCACAGTGTGATTTCAATAATCTGACGACCAGTTCACTCTTTTTTCCTCTGTGGGAACAGAGAATTTGGGCATTTTCTGTTGCCCGTTAAGGCCAGGTTCAAATGATTGGACAGTACAATCAGAAGTAAGTAGATACTCTTCCTGTGAAAAGAAAGCCTTATCAAGGCAATGCTTGAATGGTGGAAGGTCCAGGAACTCTCCCTGATAACTAAATGCAACATAGATAAATTTGCATACGTCCATTTTTCTGTCAGAGAGTATCCATCAGATTCTCAAGGATATCTGTGAGCCAAAAAAATACAAAGAACCACAACTTTAGGGACTGGAATTTTCCCAGAATTGTGTTCTGTTTTCTGGGGAGAGATGCAAAATTGTAGGAGCCTGACCAATTCCTATTAGGGCTAAGTTTTATCTTATTTTATTTTTTATTTTTTTAAAGATTTTATTTATTTGACAGAGAAAGACACTGCGAGAGAGGGAACACAAGCAGGGGATTGCGGTGGGGGGTGGGTGGAGAAGCAGGCTTCCCGCCGAGCAGGGAGCCCAATGTGGGGCTTGATCCCAGGACCTGGGACCATGACCTGAGCCGAAGGCAGATGCTTAATGACTGAGCCACCCAGGCGCCCCAGGGCTAAGTTTTAAAACGCAGTTGAATAGTCATTAGAACCTCAAGCTGTTCAATAATAAAAAGGCAAATAATCCAATTTTAAAGTGGGTGAAGGATCTGAATAGATATTTCTCTAAAGAAGATGTACAAATGGCCAAAAGCACATGAAAAGATGCTCTACATCACTGTCTTCAGGAAAATGCAACTCAAAACCATGTGAAATACTACTTCACAGCCACTGTAATACAAAAGATGGAAATAACAAGTGTCGATAAGGATGTGGAGATATTGCAGGCTTGCGGGGTTCTCGTCTCACCGAGTCCAAAAACGAATCTCGCGGACGCAAACAGGTGAAATGAAGTGAAAGTTTATTAAGTGAAGGTGAGAACAGAAAGGAAAGAGAAAGCTCTCTAGAGTGAGAGGGCCCCGAATGGCTTGCCAGTGAGGGTTTTTAAGCCAGTCTTTATTGAAAACTAGACCAGGGAGCTTGTGGCCTTGAGATTCTTGCGCCATCTTGGTCTGAGCAAGGACTATTGATAACCCCTTAATGACTGACTGACTTTGAGAT